TGAAGATGAGAAAATGGGGGATTTCAGACTGTGCTGACATTCACTGCCTTTGATTTATGAGAAAAGCACTTCCTCTCACATCAGGCACTCCAGTGGGCAATCAAGCGAAGAGCTGATCACCAGCAGTAGCTTCTGTGAAACTGTGCATACACACGCTAGTCAACTCAAACAATGTGCTTCTTAACGTCTGGACCTGAATGGAACTATTCATGAAAACGCCACCAGCAGGCTGAAAGTGCCCAGTATGATTTCTTTGTCAAGCACACACCGGCATACTGAACGTGTATTTTTGTGAGAGAGGAGATATCTCATACTGTCCTTTTGTCCCGTGGCAGCTTTATCAGAGGCTTTGAGGCCTTTTTTTTTTCATTCTGTATTTTTCCCTAATGGTTTGAAAAGAGAAAGGTGACACAAGGACAGGTTAAAACTGTTAAGTTTGTATATGAAAAGCTTAATTTCATGTTTATTAATTTGTTGGAACAAACGTCTCTCAAATTTAGGACATTCCCAAAATAGACCATTTAATATGACTTAATATTATTATGTCTAGAATATTATGAAAACAATGAATCAGTTCTCAGAAACATTTCAATGCTACAACATTAAAACGTTTAATTTAGTAGCTCAGTTGAGTTATTTAAACTACAATTAATGTTTTGTCAGTTTACCTAAAATGCATTTAAAGGTAGAGTAGGCAATGTTTTTCATAACAAAAAAAAAAAAATGCTGGGGCAAAGTCTTTTCACATCCTGATAGCAATCAGTAATTAAAATAATCTAAATCTTCTGTGGAATTCTCAAGACCATAAAATATCCATCCAATTTATGAGGCTTTGAGTTATAACAATACAATACAAATCACATAACTCGTATACAGTTAGTGTTGTCTCACAAGTGAATAACACATGAGGTAGTTTGAAAGCGCTCCGTTCCCCCCTCCAGAGAGATCTCTGAAGGTAGCGTGGGATATACCTTTATATATACTTTTAGTTAATGTCATATCAGTAGTTCTCAACTGTTTTTACTTCAGTCCACACATACACTGTCAACCACACACTGTCACGAATTGCAGGGAGTTCAGGAGTTATGGATCTAATTTTATTGGAAGGAAAAGATTGGAATCAAATTGTTATCAAAACTAAAGAAAACAACTAGAAAAGCTTTTAAGTCCATGTACAATAAACCGACATCAACGAACTAGCAGCGACGGAAGGTAACTGTGTTGTCGCCCCTCGTCATGTCACTATTCCACTCTGCAAAGACTACAGCAGTGTTTCCCAAATATGTTCCTAGAGGCACACCAACACTGCACATTGTTTTAACTCTTCCTAATCAAACACACCTGATTCAACTCATCACCAAGACCAAAATTATATGTGTCAGATAAGGGAGACATCCAAAATGTGCACTGTTGCTGTGCCTCCAGGAACAGGGTTGGGAAACAATGGACAACAGCCAACCGCCAACTGCCAACTAGCACATACTTTATGTCTGAGCACCTGCATGTGAGGAGATAACTGTCTATACCAGCAGATGGCTACATTTCTACATTCAATCTACATTTGTCATTCAAAAAAGGAAACTGAATCTAGGGCTGTGTCCGAAATCGCCCTTATACCCTTTAATAGGGCACTATTTGAGGGGACAGCCATTTGTAGCTGTGTCCGAAACCGTAGTGGATGTTATTGAGTGCACTCATTCAGTCCCACAATGCACCGCAATAATGAGTGAACAACCGATACGCTCAACGGCTAGAGAATACCCATAACGCACTGTGAGAGTCGAGTGCCGAATGAATTCCCGCGTGTCGCCAGAAGATGGCGTCCGCAGCTGAATCTAATCATCCAGCCTTTTTCAAACCGTGCTGGTCCAGTGTAATATCATGCAGGTATAAATTTCATTTTAATTTATTAAATTGTTTAATTAAGGTTTATATGCTAGTTTCCATGTCAGAGTTCAAGATACATTTTTTCATTACTACTGAAGCTGCTAGTATGCTACGTTTCAAATGATTATTAAACAGCAAGCTCAAACTATGCAAAATTGGCAGCCCTTCCGGCGCACTTAGTGTCCGATTTCACTCAGTCGTTTTCATTCACTCCTTCAAGTGGACTATATGGAGTAATGTAGGAAATGGTGAATCGAGGTGATAGTGGGAGGAGCCAATGATTCCACCATATCTTTATGTACACAATAATAATATTTTACATTGTAATCCTTTTATTTTTAATATTTGGCATGTTTGTGTGTGTAATAAACAGAGTGTAAGCGCGTTGTGGACCCGCCTATAGGCTCATATTACTAATGCGCCCTTTAAATAAAAATATTGCGCCATTGACTTTAGACCAGGTTTCAGTTGGTCAATGGCGCAGTCTATTTCAGTTGCCTCAAAATAGCAACACGTCAACAATGCGCCTGAACACACCTCGCTTTCAGACCAGCAGCCCATGGGCGCACAGATGGGCGCAAATGCATTTGCTAATTAAACATCATTGCACAGGACGTGAAAATGATAACTGCGTCAGGCTGATAATAGCAAAAAACTGTTTTTTTTTTGTGTGTGAAAAACACGGCACTGCATAGGGCCCTTTAATTTAAAAATCCAAAGCAGGAATACACAGGAGATAACACAGGGGAAACAAATAAAACAACCTTGTCTTTGATGACACGGAACAATGAACAGAGTAAACTGAGGACTTAAATATACAAAGATAATGAAGAAACTCATTGAACAACAGGTGAATGTAATCAGTAACTAATGGACCTAAGTAGCAAACAGAATTCAGGCAAAACAGGGAGAACGACATCAAAACACAGTGAAACTAAACAGAACCTAACATAACCCTGGGCATTATTATAACCCTGTCATAAGAGAGAAAGATATAAACAAAAAAAATGTTGTTGGCCATTTTAGTAACACTCACACAGCAGCATTAACTAGTTTTCTGTAATTGAATGACAAGGTAATATCAAACAAAGCACACTGTTATAATTGTACTTTAAAAAAAAAAAAAAAAAAAAAAAAAAAAAATATATATATATATATATATATATATATATATATAAAAAAGATTTATGATGTTAATAACTGTGGAAATGCATCATCACATTCTGTGAAAAGGGTCCACTACCATGTTCCTGAAGACTCAATAAGCCCCACTGATGTGTATATGTGGACAGTACTTTGTAAATGTGGGTCAAATATTTCAGAATGAGATTTTTTTTTTTTTTTTTTTGCAACATAGTCTTACTAATTGCTTTTTGGATCTGGGAGGAACTCCTCAATACATACTCCCGCCCTTTTCTGTCTGAGCCAGTACGCAGGTTTCATCTTAATAGTGAGTGTACACTTTTAAAAAATCATTTAAGTTACATTAAGCATTATGCTTCCTTTTAGTCAGAAGCAACCCCTGGTAGTGGAGACATTAGTCGAGAATGGCACTGTTCTTTAGACCAGCAGACAGCACTCAGACGCATACTCAACACAGTCTGTGACCTGTTCTTCTTTCAGTGAAATTACAAAACAAAAAGCAACCAAATGAGTCCTGATTTTGATTTACAGTACAGCCACTGCTTTGCTGTAGCTATTTTGCTTGGTTTTATAAAAGTTGTACATGGGCCAGTTTTGAACCCCAGACAACTCGTTACAAAAGATGTGTCTCTCAGAAATCATAGCTTGACAAGAGTAATAATGACTAAAATACTATATCATAGACATTTTCTACAATTTGATATGTCTTATAAATGATTTAAGCTTTGTATGATACACAAATATATGAAAGAAGCACAACAGACTGTCTCTGACCGTCTCTCAGAGGCCATCTCTCTGTTAAGAGTAATATCAACTAAGATACTGAATCATACACATTTTCTACTAGATACTTGATATGTCTATTTAGATGCTTTAAACCTTATAAGTTATAATAGGCTGCATGATATCTCTCTGCCTACCTCTCTCTCTCTCTCTCTCTCTCTCTCTCTCTCTCTCTCTCTCTCTCTCTCTCTCTCTCTCTCTCTCTCTCTCTCTCTCTCTCTCTCTCTCTCTCTCTCTCTCACTCTCTCTCTCTCTCTCTCTCTCTCTCTCTCTCTCTCTCTCTCTCTCTCTCTCTCTCGGAGATGGCAAGAATTTAATATATTCTTTATAATTTGTTCAGATTTGCATTTGGATGCATAGTAAAAGTTGTTGTAAGCAATTTTCAACCAGTGAATATTTTCTTCCCTACTTCCAATCTCTCTAATCAACTATTTTATATAGAGTTAGAATATATTTAAATAAATGTTATAAATGTAATAAAAATAATAATGATTATTATTATACAAAGTATATTTGTGAAATGATAACTAGGCAGGAACCTGAATTTACATTTAAAATGGTCTTTTCAAGTAATTTTGTGAACTTCCTGTCAAAGCCTATTCTTCATATATGGCCAGCAGCCATGTCACCCTGTAGCCCAAGACTGGTCGCCCACTAAAGCTAAGCAGGGCTGAGCCTGGTTGTACCTGGATGGGAGACATTCTGGGAAAAATAGGTTGCTGCTGGAAGAGGTGTTAGTGAGGCCAGCAGGGGGCGCTCACCCTGTGGTCTGTGTGGGTCCTAACGCCCCAGTGTAGTGACGGGGACACATACTGTCAAAGAGCACCGTCCTTCAGATTAGACGTTAAACCGAGGTCCTGAAACTCTGTGGTCACAAAAAATCCCCCAAATTTGACCAGTGGCCTCTGTCCATCATGGCCTCCTAATCATCCCCATATATATATATATATACTCATTGGCTTCATCACTCTGTCTCCTCTCCACCAATAAGCTGGTGGGCTTTTTGGCGCAATATGGCTGCCGTTGCATCATCCAGGTGGACGCTGCACATTGGCCCCCTTCTATGTAAAGCGCTTTGAGTGCCGAGAAAAGCGCTATATACATGTAATGAATTATTATTATTATTATTATTCATATTCTTTAGAAGAATGAAACGGCATGGTCTACCAAACAGAGCAGATCCCTACCTGGACTCCATAGTGTCTTTGGTGAGATAGACAATCCAGTAGACCAGGTTGAAGGCCCCAAAGGACAGAGGAAAGAGGATGCGTGAGTACTTGTCAATAATACTAGTTCCTATCAGCATGTTGTTGGCAGGGAAAGTGGAACCATGCTGATGGAACTCACACTGGGGTGGTCTGGAGAACCTGTCAGGAGCATCTCTTTGGGAGAGGGAGTTCAGCCTTTTCTTCAACACACCTCCAGGGTCTAGAGGATTCTAGGCACAGAGAGAATCATTTGTGACATAAGAACAGGCAAACAGTTATCCAACTTTTTGACTGGTGACACAATTTAAATGTTTAAATTTGGGCAAATGCAATAACAAACAAACACAGTGCAGCTAGTGTAATGTGATACTATAGACAATTATATTACAGTTTTTTTTTTCCTCCAATGAAACAAACAAACTAACACATACTATCTAATAACTGTAATTAAGACAATTATTATAGTTTTATTAGCATATTCAGTCTTCCTTAAAATGTTCCATAAAAACATTATCTAACTTTCTACATATGTGACCCTGGACCACAAAACCAGTCTTAAGTTGCACGGTTATATTTGTGGCAATAGCCAACAAAACACTGTATGGGTCAAAATTATCGATTTTTCTTTTATGTCAAAAGGATATTAAGTAAAGATCATGATCCATGAAGATATTTAGTAAATTTCCTACCTTAAATATATCAAAATGTTATTTTTGTAAGTGGATGCAGCACAATCGCCAACAGAAATGGACACCTTTAAAGGCGATTTTCTCAATATTTAGATTTGTTTGCACCCTCAGATTCCCTATTTCAAATAGTTGTATCATAACAAACCAAACATCAATGGAAAGCTTATTTATTCAGCGTTCAGGTGATGTATAAATCTCAATTTTAAAAATGGACACATAAGACTGCTTTTGTGGTCCAGGGTCACACATAAGCTAATTAAACCATAATAATTTGGTTAATTACAGCGACAATGAAGGATGATAAAACACAACAAAACAGCCTAGTGTAACAGACAATAACCAACAAAAAACTAAAGAAACTAAGGTGTATAAATACACAAGGGAAACAAGATAATGAGCATCTCAACTAGAAACAGGAACATGATCAGAAACTATAGTAACAAGTGGAAACATGGGAAACAAAGGAAACAGGAAGAGAACAAGGTGAAACAAACTAAAATAAAGCAGAATGAAAATCTAAGATTACTCCTCCCCTCCCGGAAGGCGCATCCTTGTGCCATAAACCGAAACTACACATAAGTGGATGTAGAGGGAAAAACAGAAACCAAAAGTTAATTGGAGGAGAGGCAGGGGGAAGAGTCAATGGGGGGAGGAGGAAAGCAGAGGGAAGGCCCAAGGAGGAGGTGCTAGAGGGAGGAGCCAGGGAGGAGACCACAGAGGCATGAGCCAGGAAGCAACCCAGAGCAGAGCCATTAGGACGAAGGGCCACGGTGGAACCGACGGAGGAAGGAGCCATGATGGAGCCAGTAGACCAACTGACTGAGGTGGAACTAAAAGTGGGAGAGACCAAGGTGGAGCCCAGGAGACTAAGACCAGGCTTTACCAGGAGAACCAAGGCAGAGCCACAGGAGACAGTTGGAGACAGGGGCTTGGGCAGACCGGGACAGAGCATGGGGGACTGTGGACAATGTTGGAACCAGAGGGAAGGAGGGGCCCAGCGGAGCCAGAGTGGTGGAGGATCAAGGGGTAACCGGAGACCCGGAAGTCTGAGGTAAAACTAGAATGACAATGGAACAAGGCAGAGCCAGAAGGACGTGGGAGCCCAGCGAAGCCCGAGGGATGGCGGAACACGGTGGGAGCATGGAGCCACGGTGGAACCGATGGGTCAGAGAGCTGAGGTGGAGTCCGGGACTTGGAGGCTCGAGGTGAAACTAGGGGATCGACACACCGGGGCGAAGCTGGAGACCTAAAAGCACAAGGTGGATCCAAGTAGCTGGGTGGAGCCACTTAAGAAGGAGCAGAGGGGCTGAAGGGAACCAGTGGTGGCGGTGCCGAGGAACTGAATGCGTTGTGAGAGGAGGAGGGAGTGTGAGACTGGTGGCGACAGAGGAGTCTTGAGGATGGATTCGACCAGCAGCGACAAAGGAGACTGGAGGCTGGGAGGGACCAGAAGCAACGAGGGAAACAGGAGACTGGGCAGAACCAGCGAGTCCATTAAATTAACTGAGCTCTTAGCGAGCAACTCTATGTGAAGGGTGGAGAAGTAGGCGGGATCTAACTCCAAACAATTCATCCAAAACAATCTGGTTCTGCGGTAGGCTCTAGCTTTGTGTTTGCAGTGGGTGTGTTAAAGGGCTAGATGGGCTCTGGGTCCATGGCGGGCGTGGTCTCTGGGTCTGGGTCTGAGGAACCCATCACCACGGGTTGGGAAGAGTCCAAACAGTTGAGGACATACTCCCTCCTAGTCAGATCCCCCATCTACTGGCTATTCTGCATGCTGACCCAATAGATAGTCTTCAGACTGACATCATTAAACTTGGAGAAATTATCCAACTCACGAATAAGAGGAAGTCCCATGTGATGACGGCTGGTGAATGTCACAGCTAGATCTATTTGTTGGATCGGTTATTCTGTCACGTTGTGGCAGGGAGTAGTTGAGATCTAGTAAGTGCAGCTTCTTCATTCAGGATAGTAAACAGGACACAGAAATCAGGAGTAGTCAGGGGATAAAGCACAACAAAACAGCCTAGTGTAACTAAGACAATAACTGAAAAAGAACTGAAGAAACTAAGGGGAATAAATACACAAGGGTAACCAGATAATGAGCAACTCAACTAGAACAAGATGATGAAAATAATCAGTAACTACAGGAACAGGAACAGAGCACATGAAAACAAGGTGAAACAAACTAAAAGTCCATAAAACAGAATGGAAACCTTGCATAAACAATTTAGCTTTGCAAGCAGCACACTGATATGCACTGTTATTGCACTTCGGGATGCTCAAGTTCAAATCCTGGCTACTATCAATACTGTCCTATCTAAATAAAGGACAGGCTAAAATGGCAAAAACCCTTGTCATTCATATTTATTTTGATTTTGTTGAAAATAAAATCTCGTTGGGGAGTGGTGTGGAGTGTGAAGAGAATTGTGTAGTTATGCTGTAAGTTTCATTGCAGAAGTGTTGACTAATGCTGATTAGTGTTGAATAGTTGCGTGATTTATACTGTGGAATTAATAATAAGGAAATATTACAAATTTGCATTTTCCAATTTAATATACACTGGAAATTGTCTTTGACCATACATTTATTTGTTTCATCCAAATCGACTACGTTCACAGTATCTACTAACATCCTGATCTAAAGCTGAACTCTTTTATTTTATTTTATTGTGTTATTTTATCTTCAAGCAAAACAAAATCTTTGCTTTGAGTGAACAAGGTTATTTATGGCTTTTATTTGCAGCGCCTTCGCCCTTTCTGGCTTGCGGAAGTTTTGGCATTGAAAACGGCTATGACTCGGTTCCATCATTGAACAGGTTTCCAAGCTGTGAGTGTCAGCTGCAGATCACTGTGTCGCCCCTACTGCAATGGGAAATCGCCCAGGGAGCACCTGGCTCAAGCTGCCATAATACCGCAGCTATTTTTGACACCGCAACAGGCAGCAGCTAACTCAGGCTAAATATCCAAGGCAATGGGACAATCACACAATTATATCATTTGCCTGGCTCTCTATATGGTAAAAATGTTAAAATGGTAAAAATGGTATAATGGTAAATGGACTGCATTTATATAGCACTTTCACAGACCCAATGGCCACCAAAGCGCTTTACATATTGCCTCACATTCACCCATTCACACACCGACGGCGGTGTCAGCCATACAAGGCGCCATCCAGCTCGTCGGGAGCAGCTGGGGTTAGGTGTATTGCTCAAGGACACCTCTACACTTGGTCAGGTGGAACCGGGGATTGAACCACCAACCTTCCGGTTTGTAGACAACCTACATGAACCACTGAGCCACTGCCACCCCATGTATGTATTAGAATATGGGGAAATGTGTTATTTCTAAGTAGCGTCACCAAAAAGAATTGCAAAATCAGTGATTGTTTTCCCAAACACACATAATGCTCTTTCTCCTACCGTATCCCATTCACATTTTTTTCCAATTATGAGGTACTCTTACCCCAAACTCCTGCCATTGGTTGAGCAAGAAGATGTTTAAAAAAAAAGCCACAGTGTTTCCACTTTTCAGGAAGTCAGCCTCAAGAGTTTTTAAACTGGGATAAAAGAATAAAAAGTAACACTTTACATCAAGGTTTCCTTTGTAGGGGTTTATAAAGGTGTTCATTAATGACTAATAACTTATTTACATATTACATTATCTCATGATTCGTGACACTTTTCTTACTATGTTGCTTACCAAAAGCTACTTTGTGTCTTACTCATGACACTCTTCAAATAGTTCATGATGCCTATCCACAGCGATGTATAAAATCTAATTTCTTGTTTATCAAGATGAAAGTATCAATCTATATTGTGAACACAACCATAACTTGGTGAGATAAAAATGAAAAATTGAGTTCCAATATTAGTTACCTGCAAAACTTAAACACCTGTGAACCATCTATTCATGAGTAAAAAACATGAATAACACGTAAAGTGGACACCTTTAAACCATTTATTCATGAGTTATAAATGTTTGTAACCTGTATAAGTGAACCTTAAAGTGGACACATGTGAAGCATTTGTTTATTAATTATTAATGCACAGAAAAAAAAGAGTTTGTGTGGGTAGTGTTGATAAACTATACAAGTAAACAGAAATGTAAACTTTAAACTAAAAAGATTCAACTTTTATTACAGCACATTGGAAAGTGGCTTAAACTCACATTAAACAATTCAGAGAAACAATCAAGTCTTCCAACAAATGATAATCTAGTATAACATCTATAAGGCAAAAACATTTGATAAATACAAGCTAAATAAAGGCATCTAAAAAAATAATATTTTATCTGCTTTAACAGTTTTGTAATAATCATTCAATCAATTACTGAATACACATTACAGAACAATGCAGAACGTTAGATAATGTCTTTCAATAAAACAGAACTGTTCGCGGGAGCGCCAGTGTGGTTATTTACTAATACATTGAAGTAACACAACAATTACACATAACACTTGAAAACCATAGTCTGAAATGTCACCTCAGTAAGCTTACCTGTCAAATCAGCAACACAATATGAGATAAAATTTGTACTTCAGAGCACGTTGGAACCATCCTAACAGCGTGACTTCTTCTCATGTAAAGTGGCTTTATTAGATGCTCACTTGTGCAAACTCCTGTCACATGTCAGAACCCACATGCTTTAGTGATGTGAAGCTGAAAGAGTATAAAAAGTATCTCCTACTAATATTACAAATGAAAAGAATGCATTGCATATTATACATATCTGTCACAGTTGTTTGTGAAGAGCAATAGGAAAAATATAGGAGAACAATCCATCCACATGCAAATGAAATCTGACAAGCAAAGATAAAACTCAGGGCTATAAATACACGAGACTAAATGAGCAACAAAACAAGATAGGTTGAACCAAATCAGTTACTATAGAAACAAACAAGGACTTAGAAACCAAATAAATCAGGAACAAAACAAGGAGCTGAACACAAATACAACAGAATACAGTCAAATCAAAAGAAGAATCTACAAAACTAGAAGTGACAATATTATATTAATACACTGCACGTTATTATAATAATACAGTTAGATTATCAACATTAGAGATATGTGGAAGTTCCTGTAAATTATATGTTATTATATCATTTCTGATCATTTGTATCTTGTTTTGCATTGTTTGTAATAGGCTACACTGATACATTTTGGAAATAAAAAAAGATTCACATCACCAAAGCCTGTAGTTGGCGCTAGTGAGCATCCGATAAAGCCACTTTTCATGAGAAGTCACGCTGTCACGACGGTTCCAACGTTCTCTGAAGCAACATTTTAATCTCACATCGTGTTCACCGATTTTTCGGGTAAGCTAACTGAGGTGACATCGCAGAATATGTTTTTTAAAGTGTTTATACTGTATGTGTAATCGCAGTGTCACTTCACTTCTCACTTCTAAAAGGCTGCCTATCTGTAATCTCATCTTCTATTGCTCACCTGATCAACTGCTCTATTTCCTCTGGGTTTGTCCCTCTATCATTAAAACTGCTGCTGCTATTTTGAAGAAATCAGTACTAGATTATTCTGCTATGAATAATTTCAGACCTATATCTACCTTTCATTCTAAAATGCTAAAAAAAAAAGTTGTTCCCTCTCATCTTCTTGATCCCTATCAATCTGGTTTTCAATCTGGCAATAGCACTGAAACTGCACTGGTGAAAATGACCAATGAGCTTCTCCTATCTGCTGATTCGAGCTGTCTTACTGTCCGCATGCTTGATATAACAGCATCACATACTTATCTCTCGTCTTTCAGCTATAGGCATCATGGGCAGCGCTCTTTCTTGGTTTACATCCTATCTCACTAATAGACACTTATTCATTGCTGTCCATATCTTCAAATCTTCCACCTATTTTCTCTTTCAAGGTGTCCCTCAAAGCTCCGTTCTTGGACCTCTTCTTTTGAATATTTACTTGGTCATATTATCCATCGTCATGGTCTTAGCTATCATTTGTATGCTGATGACCTGCACATTTACATCTCTGCTTGCTCTGCTTCTGTTCTTTCTCTTGACTCATTAAATGCCTGTATTTCTGACATCAACATTTGGTTACATAAAACTTTCTGAAATTTAATAATGATAAATCCGAGGTTATTGTATTTGGTCCCATTTAAAAAAAAAACTGAATTGACAAATGTCTCTGAATTGTTTAATGTGAGTTTACTTATAAGCCACTTTTCACGAGAATTCATACTCAGTAATGTTCCAATGTGCCGTAAAATAAGTTTATTCTTTTCAAATTTAAAGTTGAACTGATATAGTGCATCAACAATAAAATACATTTCACCAAATTCACCAGAATAATATATCAAAATATCATCTCTTCTGTATGTGTAATATTAATTAATAAATAAATAATTTGTGTGTCCACGTTACATTAAGGCTCACTTTCACAGGTTATTTTTTCATTTTGAATCTCTCATATACAGTAGTTATGGTTGCTTTTTTAAATAAAGATTGATACTTTCATCTTGATAAACAATAAATAGTTTTTATACATTGCTGTGGATGACCTTTTTGCAGAGTAAGAAGAATAGTAGCTTCTGGTGCATCATAAGAAACGTGACGAGATATTAATGAGATAACTGCAAATGCAACACCCTTCAGTCTCACTATATTAGTCTGTTTTTGCTGTATCATTAAATCAATCAGGAATGAAACACGTATGAATACTTTGGTAACACTTTATTTTAAGGTGCTTGTAATAAGCAGTAATTAACAGTTAATAAGATACTTATAAGACCTTATAAGATGCATATAAGATGCATATAAGCATTAACTAATGATAATAAATAAATTAAATTAAATAATACATTTCTCAAGTATCAATACATTGCACTTTTAGAACAGCCGAACAAACATAAATGGTAACACAAACTCCCAGGCCCTTAAAAATTGACCTTCCCAAGAGGGAGTAGTTTCCCTGATCTCTTCAGGGCCTGGACCTTTAATTAACCCTTATATGAAGTAGTTAATGCTTATATGCATCTTATATGCATCTTATAAGGTCTTATAAGTGTCTTATTAACTGTTAATTACTGCTTATTACAAGCACCTTAAAATAAAGTGTTACCGCATTAAAATCACCCTTTTTATTCGTGCAGTTATAACAGTTTATCAACTACTTATAATGCCTTTGTAAATTAGTTATTAGTCATTAATGACCACCTTTATGAACCCTTTACAAAGGAAACATTAAGGGGATAGTTCACCCTAAAATCATAAATTACTCACCCTGGTGTCGTTCTAATGCCGTATACCCTTCTTTCTTTTATGGACCAAAAAAAAAAGGAGAATAAAAGAAAAAGAAACAAATGCCCCACTCGCGCTTGTCCATATAACGACCAGCATCAAGCATTTTAAAAAAGACGCATACGTATCGCAGAATGATCCCATGCGACGTGTGTCATATATTCCAAGTGTTTTGGGGGTATATGATATGAAATTTTATGTATTATTTAACAAAAATACAGACCTTGGCCATAGGTCTTCAATGCATGGCTACGTGACGTGTGCGTCCGTGTGACTCTCTTGCAGAAATATGAAATGAATCTAAAATGAGACACTTTTAGCAGAAATATCCCAAGCCAATTTAATGTAAAATGCTATTTGTAGGTTGATCCCCAGCCTAAAAGAGTGTGAACAGTGTGACTCGGTGCAATTAAAACATTTGAGCTACCAAACAGGACAGCACAGACAGATTGGCTCAACCAATGGGGTGTGTTTGTGGCAAGCCTACAGGTTGTCCTATTAATGGCAGACAGGGGAGTATTCAGGAAGCCTGTTGAAAGAAGGCAATATCTTGCACCTAGCACTGTTGTACAATACACTTGTGTCATGAGCTAACTATATTAGGGTTAAATATTCTTGTCTAGAGCTTTAAAACTGCATGGAAGCCAATATAATCTGTTGTTGAGCTGATAAAGGTTAAGCAAACTGAAGCAGTTCTACAATTCTGAATGTGTACCAAACAAAACTGAGCCACATACTTTGTCATTATGCCTGTGACATCAATGACATGAAATGGGAATCTGTCTGTGACTTCACATGGTAATTTACTCACTCAGGGCAAGAGTACTAAGCCACTGCGTCTACCCCTACAGCAATCAAGAAAGAGGATAGATCCCCTCGCTTCGAGTCTGGCATGCATTCGCTTGGATGTTTTGCTACATTGAACTGGTTATATAATCTGCAGCAGCTAGGGCTAGGGGCTAGGGAGGCCACTGGCTGTCTCCTTTCGTCTAGTGTGCTTGTTATCGGCTAAAACGAGAGTGAGCCATGGAAGGCAGAGAGAAGAGAGGGTGGAATGAATGGAGAACCAAAGATGTAGATAAGAATTACCGAAACGGCTTCTCCGTCACTTTTGGCCGCTGCTTGGGCCGCAGCACAGGCCAAGTTGGCCCGCCGAAGTTCCTTATTGGCCTGCAAGGTGGAGAAATAGTTGACAGCAGCAAACTCGATAAGGGCGGAAAAGACAAATGCGAAGCAGACGGCGATGAACCAGTCCATGGCGGTGGCATAGGAGACCTTTGGTAACGAATGACGGGCGCTAATGCTCAGCGTGGTCATGGTTAGCACTGTGGTGATGCCTGTCGAGAATACATGAAAATCCAACAAAAAACAGACAGACAAAAAAAAAACTGTTAGCTTGATAAAGATCTCTGTTTTGTTTTCAGTTTCCAGAGGAAGTTTTGGTAAACAGCCTCGGTTCAACCTAATCCTAAACAGTAGTTAAAAACAGTGATTTAATGAATAGCTCATTCAAAAAGAAAAATTCTTCATTATTTATGGCAAATCTGAGCTGTGAACTTTTATTTGGGAAAATGTAGAAACAGGAACATTTTCTAAGAGCATTTCAAATATCTTCTGTAAACACATTTCATTTGGCTAATGATACAGTCAAAAGCAAAACAAATGTAAGGGCATAAACTTGAAATATTTATTTATTTTCTTTCATATGGAAGTTTAGGTGTTACTATCATTTAAAGAAGGGCCAATTAGTCATTTGGTTGTCATTTGCAGTTTGTAAAACCAAAACACACCAGACATGATTTTTGGACAGGGTTATCTTGGTAGCTTGTTTGCACCACAGAATAAAACATTTTAAATGATAATTATCTCATAATTGCGAGTTTACATCTTGCAATTCTGACTTTATTTCTCAGAATTGCAAGATATAAAGTCAGAATTGCGAGATATAAAGTCAGAATTGCGTGATATAAAGTCAGAATTGCGTGATATAAAGTCAGAATTGCGTGATATAAAGTCAGAATTGCGTGATATAAAGTCAGAATTGCGAGATATAAAGTCAGAATTGCATGATATAAAGTCAGAATTGCAAGATATAAAGTCAGAATTGCGTGATATAAAGTCAGAATTGCGTGATATAAAGTCAGAATTGCGTGATATAAAGTCAGAATTGCGAGATATAAAGTCAGAATTGCATGATATAAAGTCAGAATTGCAAGATATAAAGTCGGAATTGCGAGATATAAAGTCAGAATTGCAAGATATAAAGTCAGAATTGCGAGATATAAAGTCGGAATTGCGTGATCTAAAGTCAGAATTGCGTGATATAAAGTCAGAATTGCGTGATATAAAGTCAGAATTGCGAGATATAAAGTCAGAATTGTGTGATATAAAGTCAGAATTGCGTGATCTAAAGTCAGAATTGCGTGATATAAAGTCAGAATTGCGTGATATAAAGTCAGAATTGCAAGATATAAAGTCAGAATTGCGAGATATAAAGTCGTAATTGCGTGATCTAAAGTCAGAATTGCGTGATATAAAGTCAGAATTGCGAGATATAAAGTCGGAATTGCGTTGATCTAAAGTCAGAATTGCGTGATATAAAGTCAGAATTGCGTGATATAAAGTCAGAATTGCGAGATATAAAGTCAGAATTGTGAGATATAAAGTCAGAATTGCGAGATATAAAGTCAGAATTGCGTTGATCTAAAGTCAGAATTGCGTGATATAAAGTCAGAATTGCGAGATATAAAGTCAGAATTGCGAGATATAAAGTCAGAATTGTGAGATATAAAGTCAGAATTGCGAGATATAAAGTCAGAATTGCGTTGATCTAAAGTCAGAATTGCGTGATATAAAGTCAGAATTGCGTGATATAAAGTCAGAATTGCGAGATATAAAGTCAGAATTGCGAGATATAAAGTCGGAATTGTGTGATATAAAGTCAGAATTGCGTGATATAAAGTCAGAATTGCGTGATATAAAGTCAGAATTGCGTGATATAAAGTCAGAATTGCGTGATCTAAAGTCAGAATTGCGTGATATAAAGTCAGAATTGCGTGATATAAAGTCAGAATTGCAAGATATAAAGTCAGAATTGCGAGATATAAAGTCGTAATTGCGTGATCTAAAGTCAGAATTGCGTGATATAAAGTCAGAATTGCGAGATATAAAGTCGGAATTGCGTTGATCTAAAGTCAGAATTGCGTGATATAAAGTCAGAATTGCGAGATATAAAGTCAGAATTGCGAGATATAAAGTCAGAATTGTGAGATATAAAGTCAGAATTGCGAGATATAAAGTCAGAATTGCGTTGATCTAAAGTCAGAATTGCGTGATATAAAGTCAGAATTGCGTGATATAAAGTCAGAATTGCAAGATATAAAGTCAGAATTGCGAGATATAAAGTCGTAATTGCGTGATCTAAAGTCAGAATTGCGTGATATAAAGTCAGAATTGCGAGATATAAAGTCGGAATTGCGTTGATCTAAAGTCAGAATTGCGTGATATAAAGTCAGAATTGCGAGATATAAAGTCAGAATTGCGAGATATAAAGTCAGAATTGTGAGATATAAAGTCAGAATTGCGAGATATAAAGTCAGAATTGCGTTGATCTAAAGTCAGAATTGCGTGATATAAAGTCAGAATTGCGTGATATAAAGTCAGAATTGCGAGATATAAAGTCAGAATTGCGAGATATTACGTCGGAATTGTGTGATATAAAGTCAGAATTGCTAGTCTATATCTCGCAATTTTGACTTTATAAAACGCAACTGTACGTTTATATCTCACAATTCTGAATTTATATCTCGCAATTCTGACTTTATATCTCACAATTCTGACTTTATATCTCACAATTCTGACTTTATATCACGCAATTCCGACTTTATATCTCACAATTCTGACTTTATATCTCGCAATTCTGACTTTATATCTCACAATTCTGACTTTATATCTCGCAATTCTGACTTTATATCTCGCAATTCTGACTTTATATCTCACAATTCTGACTTTATATCTCGCAATTCTGACTTTATATCTCACAATTCTGACTTTATATCTCACAATTCTGACTTTATATCACGCATTTGAAAGTTTATATCTCGCAATTCTGACATCTTTTCTGACAATTCTTTCTTTTCGAGTTATAATGTCCGATTCTAAGGAAAAAAAAGGCTGACTTTATTTCACGCAATTCTGACTTTATAACACACAATTGCGACTTTATATCACGCAATTCAAAGATAAAAAGTCAGAATTGCAAGATGTAAACTCGCAATTGTGAGAAAAAAAGTCAGAATTGTGAGATAAAAGGTCGCAATTACCTTTTTAATTTTTTTATCTGTGGCGGAAACTAACTTCCATATTATCATGATACCATTCTTAAAAAAAAAAAAAAAAAAAAAAAAACTGTCAATTAAAGCTAAATCCATAAAAATGGTCCAATTATGGGAACCTCTAAAAGGTGCTAAGCACCTGACTGAACCCTTTAAAGTTTTGTGTATTTAGCCATGTCTACAATCATCCGTCTACACTGAGACAGTAGGTATTTGAAATTGTTGATACATTTAATCACGTATTGTACCCATAGATATCTGTTTACTTGCACAGATACTGTAAATGTTACTTTGTATAATCTTCATATTATATTTCTGTAATTATGTTTTATACCATACGTGGAACGGTGATTGAGAACGACCTGGATGCACAAGTGGTGGGTTTTTTGCTAATACAAACTATTGTGCCAGAAAAAGCATGAGAACTTGATTATGTCTGGTCTGTGTATCATCTTAGTAAGTTTTTATACATTTTATGCATGCACAGTAAGATGAATTAAGCATTTTCTGACATTTCAGAGTGGACAAGGAACTTGGAAAATGCTAGTATGGACGAAGAGCATTTTCCTGTGTTTCTGGTAAGGTCTTGTCCTTTAACCAACATAAAGAGGCTGATGGGAAAACTAGGGGGTGGGGAGACATATACTGTTATTTCATAATGGATCATCGAGACCCATGGTCTGCTGGTGCGTGCTGGCTCTATTGAATAGGTCATTTACTCAGAGCTCTGCATGAACTCCCATGGAATAGCTCCGGGATAAGTAACCATTAGTACAGTAAGGACTGAAAAGCCTTTCAGATTCAAAGTGATTTGTCTAAAAGATGACAGATAACTTTATTTTACATCTGAGCATTAGTTTGAAAAGTATTGTTTCGTTTAATAAAATACAGAATGGTTACCCAAAGGCAAGGGATTTTTAATTTATGATCAAAAAAAAAGGGCCTTTCTATATTTCATTCAGTTCTTTCTTCTTAATGTTTGGATCTATAAATCTTCTATTGTGTTAAATATTTTGGTAACACTTTCTATAAAGCCCCATTTATTTAGAATTAAGTATTACTATTATATAAATAGATTTATAAAGACTTGTTAAGTCCTAAACTGCATTATAAGAACAGTTATAGATACATTTATGTTATTTTTATAATTGCTTAAAAGTCATGCATTTGCTTTTTAAATTTGCATGCACAAAATCTATTATACACTGATTTATAAATGATCAAATATATATAAAAAAACTAATAAAAAAACAGAGAAACTTGCTTGCTGTACCAATTAATTATTAATGTCTTTAATGGCTAATGTTTGCATTAGAGGTCATGAATTGTGATTTTAATATGTTGTTAAAATCTATAGCTCCTCAGCCATATTCATGGTATTGCTTATAGCAGTTATACTTTACTGAAATTGTACTTAAAAAAATATTGTTACGGTGTTTTTCTGTTATGTAAAATAAAAAAAGATGAAAAAAAATCAACAATTTATTTGTAATTTTATTACAGGAATTATTGTTAATTAGCTACATTTACAAATAAACAACTTCAAATGTATAATGAGCACATATTCAGGATTTTTTAAATATTTGCTTTAGGAAAATTGCATTCTATGTTTTACTTAAAGCCGTCGATGATGCATTTATAGAGGTTAGTAACTGTATTATCATTCACAAGAAGTATTTATAAGAACACAACACTGCTATTAATAACAATATATTCACTTATTTGACAGAAATATCTGAATTACTAAAATGTCATTGTAACTATAATATAATAACATTATAGAAATGCAGGTTGCATCTTTATAAATAAATTCATGGAATCATACGACTGACTAATTAATACTTATAAATCAGGGTATAATGGATTATGAGCATGCGCATTAAAAAAGGAAATGCATGACTAAATTATAAAAAAATAATATAAATGAACAATAACTTTTCTCATAATCCAGTATAGGTCTAAATGGGTCTTTATAAATGTATTTATAGAATAGCAATACTATT